CATGCCAGCCTGAGTGACAGAGAAAGACTCTGTCTCGGAAAAAACAAAAACAAAAACTGTGGAAGCACTCCATTCCTCATCAAGCTTTCAGCGTATTCAGGTATTTATCTCAGTACAGACTCATGGTTTCCCTTTTTAATTCAATGGTATATAATCTGTAATTATCATTGTCTACATGGAGCTCAAATTTTCCATGATTTGTCTAGTGGGAGCCCTTTCAAACTGCTTGTGTTCTTTTGACATGACCTCATTATTCTTTGAGCATTCTTTGTTTTATGGTATAAGATGCTCCAGGCTGGGCATAGTGGCACATGCCTGTTGTCTCAGTCAACTGGGAGGTTGAGGCAGGAGGATCACTGTACCCTGGGAGTTTGAAGCCAGCCTGGACAATATAGCAAGACGCCTCTTAAAAAAAGAAAACTGAAAATGTTGCAAGTTCATCTTGTATCTTCCCTACCCCAGCCCCAGAACAAGCCATTTCTGGTTCCTTTTAGTAGAGAATAACATAAAAGTCACAATCTAGAATTTAGGTATGCTCATTGCTATTGGAGTGTCACTACTTTCAGGCCCTCTTAGTGGACAGAGTTATATATATATATGTACACACACTTTCATTTATATGTGTGCCTATGTACATATGATATATACACACACATCTATTTTTTGTCTCATATACATTGAAATTCATGAGTTCATACCAATACCTTCAATTCCAATCTAACGCCACAAGGTTCTTCCCATGTTTGTAACTCCCTTCTCTGACAGTGAGAAACTCTGGCTTCCCTTATCTTTAATTTACTTGTTTGATCAAACCTTCTGTATGTAACCATCTTCTGTCGCCACCACTACCCCCTCTCCTGCAGATGCTCCTCCATTCCTCTCAAGCTCTGACATCCTGCAGCTCCCAGCCCCTACTCTTGCCTCCCCATGTGGTTAGTCTTTCCTTGCCAAAGCTCTGTCCACTCATGCTGGGCCATGCTGCCAGGTAGAAGCTCCCCTCAGGCTCTGCCCTCCGTGCCAAGCTATCCATGCATCAGTACCTCCTCAGCCTCCTTGGGATCCAACCACCCATACCAGGTCACTCACTCCCAAGTAATGCCTTCCTACTGCTTCTAGGGATCACATACTCCACACCAGGCCACCCCTTCACATGCACACCTTCCTTATTCTGGGCCCTTACACTCCATGCTGAGCTGCCCCCAGGAGCGATGCCTTCCATACTCTGTGTGGACTTTGACTCCTCACACCAGGCAGCCCTGCGATTCCAATGCCCTTCTCACCCTACTTGGACTCTGACACCCTCAATCAGGCCCTGCTGTCACTCCCCTACCCACACTGATGACTTCACTGTTCTTGGGCTCTGATACACCATCTGGGAAGCCCCGCTATGACTCGAGCCATGTTCATTTTGCTTAGGCTCCAACTCCCCTCATCAGGCCACAATGCACTGCCCAACCCCTCCTTCTTCCTGCTCACCAGTGTCCACACACACACTCACACACACATATACAACACACACACATATATAACACATACACACATACAACACACATACACACAGCGTTGGGCTATGACTCCCTGTGCCAAGCAGCCAGCCTGAGTGCATGACCTCTTTGCTCTGCTCTGGGCCATAGAGGCTCTCCCACCCCAAACCCCAGCAGATAGTCACCTTCTTGGCTCCCTCTAATGTCTTTAGGATGGAATAGTTTGATAAGAAAAGAGGACATGGGCAGAGATTTTTTTCTCTTATCCCTGTCCTTCAGGCATTCCTTAGTTATCTTCCTTGAAGACAAACCATATTAAAAGTTTATTACATCTTTCCAGAGCTTTTGTACAGACACTCTTTTCCCCGTTGTTTCATTGCACTATAATTTATTTAACCCCTTATCTCTATGATGGCAGAATTGATCAATAGAATTGACATCTTCCTGACTGATATTGAATCTTCTGGCCGGGCACGGTGGCTCATGCCTCCAAAAGTGCCTCATCCCAGCACTTCCGGAGGCCGAGGTGGGTGGATCACCTGAGGTCAGGAGGTTGAGATCAGCCTGGCCAACATGGCGAAACCGCATCACTACTAAAAATACAAACATTAGGCTGGGCGCGGTGGCTCACGCCTGGAGTCCCAGCATTTTGGGAGGCCGAGGCAGGTGGGTCATGAAGTCAGGAGATCAAGACCATCCTGGCTAACACGGTGAAACCCCGTCTCTACTAAAAATACAAAAAATTAGCTGGCCATGGTGGCGGGTGCCTGTAGTCCCGTCTACTCTGGAGGCTGAGGCAGGAGAATGGCGTGAACCTGGGAGGCGGAGGTTGCAGTGAGCCGAGATTGGGCCACTGCACTCCAGCCTGGGTGACAGAGCGAGATTTCATCTCAAAAAATAAAAAAAATGGCCGGGCACGGTGGCTCAAGCCTGTAATCCCAGCACTTTGGGAGGCCGAGACGGGTGGATCACGAGGTCAGGAGATCGAGACCATCCTGGCTAACACGGTGAAACCCCGTCTCTACTAAAAATACAAAAAATTAGCCGGGCGTGGTGGTGCGTGCCTGTAGTCCCAGCTACTCGGAGGCTGAGGCAGGAGAATAGTGTGAACCCAGGAGGCGGAGCTTGCAGTGAGCCAAGATGGTGCCACTGCACTCCAGCCTGGGCGACAAAGCGAGACTCCGTCTCAAAAATAAATAAAAAATAAATAAATAAATAAAAATAAATAAAAAATAATAAAATTAGCTGGGCGTGATGGTAGGTGCCTGTAATCCCAGCTACTTGGGAGGCTGAGGCAGGAGAATCACTTGAACCCAGGAGGCAGAGGTGGCAGTGAGCGGAGATCGTGCCACTGCACTTCAGCCTGGGAGACAGAGAGAGAGACCGTCTCAAAAGAAAAAGAAAAAAAAAAAAAAAAGGACTGTGTGCAGTGGCTCACACCTGTAATCCAAGCACTGGGAAGCTGAGGTGGGTAGATCACAAGGTCTGGAGTTCGAGACCAGCCTGACCAACATGGTGAAACCCCGTCTCTACTAAAAAATACAAAAAATTAGCCAGGCGTGGTGGCTCATGCCTGTGATCCCAGCTACTCAAGAGGCTGAGGCAGGAGAATCGCTTGAACCTGGGTGGCAGAGGTTGCAGTGAGTGGAGATCTCACCACTGCACTCCAGCCTGGGCGACAGAGTGAGACTCCATCTCAAAAAAAAAAAAAAGATATTGACTCTTCCTGTCCAAGAGCATGGTACCTTTCCATATGTTCAAGTCTTCTTTCATGTTCATCAGTAGTGTTGCTTTAATTGTTGTTTCGTTTTTAATTTTTTTTGGACACAGGGTCTTACTCTGCTGCCCACGCTGGAATGCAGCGGTACAGTCACAGCTCACTGCAACCTCGGACTCCTGGTCTCAAGTGATGCTCCTGCCTCAGCCTCCCAAGTAGCTGAGACTAGAGGCACACACCACCGCGCCCAGCTAATTTTAAAATTTTTTGCAGATACGGGGTCTTGTTCAGTCTGGTCTCAAACTCCTGGACTCAAATGATCTTCTCACCTTGGCCTCCCAAACAGCTGAGATTACAGGTGTGAGCCATCATGCTTGGCCCCTCAGTAATGTTTTAAATTTTTCTTCATATAAATCGTGCACATTTTTGTAGATGTATAGACATTTCCATGTGTTATCTTTTGTGCAGCTCTTGTGAATGACAGATTCCTTCTTTGATCTGTTGTATAATTAGACTCATCTGTAGAGGACCAGTACGGACTGGCTGTAAGACCCTTGTACACCTGCAATGATTATTTCTTCTGGCATGATCACAAGCAATAGGGGTGGTAATCTTAAGACTTCAAAATCACTGATATCGGCAGGGAGGTAGCTAACACTTACCTAATATATGCCAGGCATTACGCTGGTGTTTTTTGTTTTGTTTTGTTTTGTTTCTGAGACAGAGTTTTGCTCTTGTTGCCCAGGCTGGAGTGCAATGGCACGATATCGGCTCACCGCAACCTCTGTCTCCTGGGTTCAAGCGATTCTCCTGCCTCAGCCTCCTGAGTAGCTGGGATTACAGGCACCTGTTACCATGCCCAGCTAATTTTTGTATTTTTAGTAGAGACAGGGTCTCGCCATGTTGGCCAGGCTGGTCTTGAACTCCTGACCTTGGGTGATTCATCAGCCTCCACCTCCAAAAGTGCTGGGATTACAGGTGTGAGCCAACGCGCCCAGCCTATGGTGGTGTTTTAAATAAATGTATAACATGTATATGAAACAGATGTTATTATTCTCACTTTAAAGATGAAAAATCAGAAGTCTAAGGTCACAGAAGCAGTCAACTTTTTTTTTTTTTTTTGAGATGGAGTCTCACTCTGTCATCCAGACTGCAGTAAAGTGGTGCACTCTTGGCTCACTGTAGCTTCCGCCTCCCAGGTTCAAGTGAGTCTCCTGTCTCAGCCTCCCAAGAGGCTGGGATTACAGGCGTGTGCCACCACGCCCAGCTAATTTTTGTATTTTTAGTAGAGACGGTGTTTCACCATGTTGGTCAGGCTGGTCTTGAAACTCCTGACCTCGTGATCCACCCACCTCAGCCTCCCAAAGTGCTGGAATTACAGGCGTGAGCCACCACGCCCGGCTAACTGTTTTAAAATTTAATTTAATTTAATTTTAAGTTCTGGGATAATTGTGTGGGACGTGCAGGCTTGTTACATAGGTAAACGTGTGCCATGGTGGTTTCCTGCACCTATCAACCCATTACCTAGGTATTAACACCCGCATGCATTAGCTATTTATCCTGATGCTCTCCCTCCCCCCGCCACGCTTCCACAGGCCTCGGTGTGTGTTGTTCGCCTCCCTGTGTCCATGTGTTCTCATCGTTCAGCTCCCACTTATGAATGAAAGCATGCAGTGTTTGGAAAACCTTCACATTTCAAAGCCATTATTTTCTACCACAACTCAGAAGAAGCTGTAGTGAACAGTGAGGTGACTGGTTGTTGTTGATTGTGAAACTTCCATCCTCCATCACTAATTACATACCACTTAAATGTATTTTATTAAGTTGATCAAACTCATTACCAGTACTGTTTCTTAGACATTTAAGGTAGTATACATTTTTGCTAAATGGTGAAAAACAAATTAAGTAATCATCTAAATGGCCTCCAGATTCCATGTGTCCTTTTTTTCATACTTTCACTATTGTTTTCCCCAAATTATCTCCGTTCAGCATTCCCATAAATGCAGCTGGCATGTTTTCAAATCCTTCGATGATATATTCCTTGTCCTGGATTTTACCCTGTATCAAAGCAATAACAAATTTCAAAACTTAAGTTAATATTCTCAATGATATACTGTTCTCATCCTAGCAACAAATGTATCAGGTACATCATTGGAAACCTTGAAAATAAGAGATGGAGGTCCTGTCCTCCATGAACTTGAAGTCAAGGGGGGGCAAGATCTACTTACACAGTACATGTAAAAGATTACAAAGTACACCTAAGAAGAACTTAATAATAGATGTCAGATCATAGTGTGAAGTGTCATAAGGCAGCGATTAAGCAATTTCTTTTTCTTTTTTTCTTTCTTTTTTTTGAGACGGACTCTCACTCTGTCACCCAGGCTGGAGTGCAGTGCCGCGATCTTGGCTCACTGCAAGTTCACACCATTCTCCTGCCTCAGCCTCCCGAGTAGCTGGGACTACAGGCGCCTGCCACCATGCACGGCTAATTGTTTTGTACTTTCAGTAGAAATGGGGCTTCACCGTGTTAGCCAGGATGGTCTCCATCTCCTGACCTCGTGATCTGCCTGCCTTGGACTCCTGAAGTGCTGGATTACAGGCGTGAGCCACCGTGCCCAGCATGATTAAGCAATTTCTAAGTAAGCTGCACAGTAAAGTTTAATAACACAATGATCTCAGAGGAGGTGGAAATAGATAGAGAAAGGAGCACCCTTCATTACCTCTGGCCCTGAAGAGGCAGGTCCTATTCAGGAAATATAAATGGCAGGACACTCTAATAATCTGTCTCCCCTTTAAGCCAAGGTTCTTTCAACATGTGTTTAACCTTTTTCTGGGAGTGTGGGACGGAAGGGTGCATGTTAGTGAGGAAGGATCTTCATTTCTCTTTCTACTACAAGGCACAGCCTGCTAATGGGAACTAATTTACATTTTCAGATTTTTTGAAGGGGTCTTATACAGAGACCTGAGTTACCTGGTACAAGCTTTTCCCTAATGCATTCCAGTGATGGCTTAGCACTCTTTATGGATTTATAGACAAGATTATTTGCTTGAAGTCAGTCAATTACAAAGTAGGGAAACTGAGATTTAAACTTTTATTATTATTATTATTATTATTATTCTGAGACAGGGTCTCACTCTGTCACCCAGGTTTGAGTGCAGTGGCACAATCAGCTCAGTGCAGTCTCAACCTCCTGGGCTCCAGTGATCCTTCTGCCTCAGCCTCCTGAGTAGCTGGGACTACAGGGATGTGCCACCATGCCCAGCTAACTTTTTTAGTTTTTGTAGAGATGGGATCTTGCTAGGTTCACCCAGGTTGGTATCAAACGCCTAGGCTCAAGTGATCCGCCCACCTCAGCCTCCCAAAGTGCTAGGATTACAGGCGTGAGCCACCGCTCCTGGCTGAGATAGGAACTTTTGACTTGAAAGCCCCAACTCATTCTTGTTCTTGAAAAAGAAAGGAATCTGGATAGTGTGGAAAGGTAGAATCCAGTTCAGAGGTTAAAAATAGAGAACGATTACTGTTATGGACTGAATTGTTTGCCCCCAATCCAAATCCATATGTCTAAGTCTTAATCACCAGTGCCTGACAATGGGACTGTATTTGGAGACAGGGCTTTAAGAAAAGCTAATTAAGAGGCCGGGTGCAGTGGCTCACGTCTATAATCCCAGCACTTTGGGAGGCCGAGGCAGGTGAATCACCGGAGGTCAGGAGTTCAAGTCCAACCTGGCCAACATGGCAAAACCCCGTCTCTACTAAAAATACGAAAATTAGCCAGGTGTGGTGGCGTGCGCCTGTAATCCCAGCTAGTCGGGAGGCTCAGGCAGGAGAATTGCTTGAACCTGGGAAGCAGAGGTTGCAGTGAATGGAGATCACACCATGGCACCCCAGCCTGGGCAACAAGAGCGCAACTCCATCTCAAAAAAAAAAAAAAAAAGTAATTAAGGTAAAATGAGGTCATATAGGTGGGCCTTAATCAATATGACTGGTGTGCTTATAAGGAGGTTAGGACACAGACACACAGAGAGAAGGCTACGTGAAGATGCGGGGAAAGGAAGCCATCTACAAGTCGAAAAGAGAGAGGCCTCCAAAGAAACAACCCTGCTGACACCTTGATCTTGGACTTCTAGCCTCCAGAACTGTGAGAAAATAAATTTGTTGTTTAAGCCACCCAGTCTGTGGTGCTTTATTTTGGCAGACCTAGCAAACTAATACAAATACTAATGGAAAATATTAATAGGGGAAATTAGGGTATAGGATGCAGGGTATATGGGAGCTCGCTGCACTATCTTCCCAATTTTCCTATAAATCTAAAACTTCTATTTTTATTTTTGTTTTTGAGACAGGGTGTTGCTCTATTGCCAAGGCTAGAGGACAGTGGCGCATTCAGAGTTCACTGCAGCCCTAGAACTCTTGGACTCTGGTGATCCTCCCACCTCAGCTTCCCGAGTAGCTGGGACTACAGGTGTGCACCACTGCACCCAGCTAATTTTTTTACTGTTTGTTTTTTGTAGAGTCTCATTGTGTTGTCAGGGCTGGTCTTGGACTCCTGAGCTCAACCAATCCTCCTTCCTCACCCTCCCAAAGTGCTGGGATTATAGGCATGAGCCACCACACCCAGCCTAAAACTTTTCTAAAATAAAAAGTGAATTTTAAAAAATAGGGAATGAGATTAAAAAGGGAGGATGAGAAAGAAATTAGGCCAACTCACAACTTAAAACCCAACTAGGGCCAGGCGCCGTGGCTCACGCGTGTAATTCCAGCACTTTGGGAGGCTGAGGCAGGAGAATCACTTGAGGTCAGGAGTTTGAGATGAGCCTGGCCAACGTGGTGAAACCCTGTCTCTACTAAAAATACAAAAAGTTAGCCAGGAGTGGTGGCAGGCGCCTGTAATCCAGGCTACTCGGGAGGCTGAGGCGGGAGAATCACTTGAACCCAGGAAGTAGAGGTTGCAGTGAGCCAAGATTGCGCCACTGCACTCCAGCCTGGGCGACAGAGTGAGACTCCATCTCAAAAAAAAAAAAAAAAAACACAACTAACTATGATCAGCTTCACTTTGTTAGAGGGAAGCATTGGGGACACCAGCACAGTGGTTTCCTGTTGTCAACTGTGATCACGGATGGGCTCCATTAGATTTCACCAACCGGGACAACCTAGATTCAGCTTTTTGCAGCTCCCTGGAGAGAGCCCAGCCCGGCACTCCAAGTGCTAGACTGGGAAGACCGCCAAGCTCCAGTGGCTGCCAGAGGAGCAATGTATTCCTTTGAATTGGGAAATGATCACTGCCCAGGGATTAGGAAGTACGGTATCATTTTTCCCCTGTAAAACTAAAATAATGCAACTTGATTGTTCAGATTTCTGTTGACTAAAACTTTACATGGTGTAAAGTTTGAAAATTATCATAGCACAGGACTAGCGGATTGTCTTCTTTGCTACTTTGGACCTGGAAGAGCCATGGTACATGTATGCTCCCCTCTAACATTCATTTATTCAGCAATATTTATCCAGTGCCTACATCACTTCATCTACTCTTCTGGGCGCTGGAGATACACCAGAAAGCAAAATGTATGAACGTGCTGCCTTCATGGAGGTTACATCCTCAAGAAGGGAGATGGGCAATAAATATAAATGAATAAGTGAATTATAGTATATATTATATAAAAGATGATTAATTGCTATGGATAAAAGTAGGATAGGAGCTTGGGCAACATGGTGAAAGCCCATCTCTATGAAAAATACAAAAAAGTTAGCCAGGTGTGGCGGCACATGACTGTTGTCCCAGCTACTCAGGAGGTTGAGGTGGGAGAATCACCTGAGCCTGGGTGAAGGCTGCAGTGAGCCATGATCATGGCACTGCACTCCAGTCTGGGTGTCTGAGTGAGACCCCGTCTCAAAAAAAAAAAAAAACCCAAAAAAACAGGGGCTGTGGGATATGGAGGATCAAGAATGAAGTGGGAATGCAACTTATAATAGGGTCATTTAAAAAGTTGCCTCACCCAGAAGGCACTCCCTTTTTTGTTGTTTGTTTTTTTGGTTTTGAGGCAGAGTTGCGCTCTGTCACTGGGCTGGAGTGCAGTGGCACAATCTCGACTCACTGCAACCTCCGCCTCCCAGGTTCAAGTGATTCTCCTGCCTCAGCCTCCCGAGTAGCTGGGACTATAGGTGCATGCCACCATGCCCGGCTAATTTGTGTATTTTTAGTAGAGACGGGGTTTCACCATGTTGGTCAGGATGGTCTCGATCTCTTTGCCTTATGATCCGCTTGCTTTGGCCTCCCAAAATGTTGGGTTTATAGGTGTGAGCCACCATGCTGGTCCAGAAGGCACTTTTTAGCAAAGACTTGCAGGATGTGAGAGAGTTCAGCAAGCAGTTACAGAGCGGTGGAGTGGTGGAGGAGACTGGGAGAAGTAAACAAGGCGGTGAATACTAAGAAATGAAATCAGAGAGATATCAGGGGTCAGATTTTGTGTAAGCTTGCTGAATATTCGCACTTTGGTTTACGCTAAGTGAAATGCAGAGCTTTGCATGGTTTAGATCATAAGAACGGCAGGATTTCATTCGTGCCTTAACAGATCGCTATGGCCACCACATTGGGAATTGTCTATAGGGGTGCGAAGATGGGAGTCCAGATAGAGTCCACTACTGCTGTGGGAAGTCAGGGACCCCAAACGGAGGATCCGACTGGAGCCATGGCAGAGGAACATAAATTGTAAACATTTCATTTTAATATGGAAATTTATCAGTTCCCAAATTAATACTTTTATAATTTCTTATGCCTGTCTCACTTTAATTTGTTAATCCTGTTAACTTTGTAAGCTGAGGATGTACATCACCTCAGGACCACTGTGATAATTGTGTTAACTGTATAAATCGATTGCAAAACATGTGTGTTTGAACAATATGAAACCAGTGCACCTTGAAAAAGAACAGAGTAACAGTGGTTTTCAGGGAACAAGGGAAGACAACCATAAGGTCTGACTGCCTGTGGAGTTGGGCAAAATAGAGCCATACTTTTCTTCTTGCAGAGAGCCTATAAACGGATATGCAAATAGGGAAGATATTGCTAAATTGTTTTCCTAGTAAGGAATATTAATAATTAATACCCTGGGGAAGGAATGCATTACTGGTGGGAGGTCTATAAACAGCCACTCTGGGAGTGTCTGTCTTATGCAGTTGAGATAAGGACTGAAATATGCCCTGGTCTCCTGCAGTACTCTCAGGCTTATTGGGGTGGGGAAAAAATCCGCCCTGGTAAATTTGTGGTCAGACCGGTTCTCTGCTCTTGAACCCTGTTTTCTGTTGTTTAAGATGTTTATCAAGATAATACGTGCACAGCTGAACACAGACCCTTATCAGTAGTTCTGATTTTGTCCTTGTCCTGTATCCTCAGAAGCACGTGATCTTTGTTCTGCCTTTTGCACTTTGAAGCATGTAATCTTTGTGACCTACTCCCTGTTCATACACCCTTTTTCCTTTTAAAATCCTTAATAAAAACTTGCTGGTTTTGCAGTTCAGGTGGGCATCACAGTCCTACCCATATGTGATGTCACCCCCAGCAGCCCAGCTGTAAAATTCCTCTCTTTGTCCCAGCAGCCCAGCTGTAAAATTCCTCTCTTTGTACTCCTTCTCTTTATTTCTCAGCCAGCCGACACTTATGAAAAATAGAAAGAACCTACATTGAAATATTGGGGGCGGGTTCCCCTGATACACTACAAACATCCAGGCTAGATGGCACAGTTCCTGGACCAGGGTGGTAGCAGGGAGGTGGGAGAAGTGTTCAGATTCTGATATAATTTTGAAGATAGAACCACCAGAATCTCCTTAGAGATTAGACATGGGTACGAGAGAAAGACATCAAAGATGACTCCAAGGTTTTTGGATTGAGAAACTAGAAGTATAGAATTGTTATAACTGAGATAGTAAAGTCTGAATATGGAGCATGTAGAGTAGGAAAGATCAAAACATATTTAGCTTTCAAGATGTTATGTCAGAGATGTGTATCAGGCATCCAGGTGGACATACTAATCTAGAGTTAAGAGGAGAGCCAGGCTGGAGATAGAGCTGGGAGCTCTCAGCATACTGAGCCCAGATGAGCTAACTAAGGGACAGCTCGAGTGTGGATAGACAAGAGAAAAGGCCCAATGACCAAGACCTGGGGCACTCTAATATTTATTTGGAGAAAAGAAAAGCGAGCAGGAGTCTAAGGAGGACCAATCAGTGAGGAAAACCAAGAGTTAAGGGAAACCAAGGGAAGAAAGCATATCAAGGAGAGAATGATCACTATTAAATATTTCCCATAGCCAAGAGGCTAAGAATCAACCAGTGGACTTCACTATGTAAGGGTCCCCTGTGACCTTGACAAAAGTTAATTTTGGCCAGGTGTGGTGGCTCACATCTGTAATCCCAGCACTTTGGTAGGCTGAGGAGGGCACATCACTTGAGACCAGCCTGGCCAACATGATGAAAACCTGTCTCTACTAAAAATACAAAAAGTTAGCTGGGCGTGGTGGTACACACGTGTAGTCCCAGCTACTCGGGAGGCTGAGGCATGAGAATTGCCGGAACCCCGGAGGCAGAGGTTGCAGTGAGCCGAGATTGCACCACTGTACTCCAGCCTGGGCAACAGAGTGAGACTCTGAAAAGCCTGATATGTGGGTTTCAGGAAGAATGGAAAGAGAGGAACGGCAGACAGTGAGTGTAGACAGCACTTCCAGGTATTTTGTTACAAAAGAGAGAGAAGGGAAATGGATCTGCATTTGCAGTGGAAATGAACTTTAGAGAGGGTTGTTTTGTTTTCCTTTCAAAGATGGGAAAAGTAAGAATATTTATATTCTAAGCACAAGGACCGAATAGGGAAAAACTGATGTTGCAGCAGAGAGAGGGAAGAATTGCTGGAACAAAAGACTTGAGAGGCAAAAGGGAATGGGACCTAGTGTACAATTGGAAGGGATGGCTCCGGAGCTCCTTACCTCTGAGACCCATTTCAGCAAGTCCTTCAGAGCTTTTTGGCGGACATCTCCTTGCCAGCGGTAGACGACAAAGCCTTGTATGTGAAGCTCCTGAAAGATAACAATCTCTGGGGGTGGACCTGTGAAGAGAAGGGCACATTTGGGCGGCAGGATCCAGGGAGGTGGTTGCAGTGAAACAAGTAGTACAGGTCACTGTCACTACACTTGGTGCTTAGAGTTTCCTGGTGCTTCTCTCATTCTGTTTCCTCCTTTCTGATCCATGTGACTGCTGGCCCATCAACATGCACTCTGCAGCAGGCAGAATAATGGCTCCAAAGATGTTCATATCCAAAAACCCCAGAACCTGTTACCTTACGTGGCAAAAAGGACTTTGCAGATATGATTAAGAACCTTAGTGGGGACGCAGTGGCTCATGCCTGTAATCCCAGCACTTTAGGAGGCCAAGGCGGGCAGATCCACAAGGTTAGGAGTTCGAGACCAGCCTGGCCAACATAGTGAAACCCCCATCTCTACTAAAAATTAAAAAAAATAAAAAAAATTAAAAAATCTGGGCATGGTGGTGGGTGCCAATAATCCCAGCTACTTGGGAGGCTAAGGCAGGAGAACTGCTTGAACCTGAGAGGTGGAGGTTGCAGTGAGCCAAGATTGTGCCACCGCACTCCAGGCTGGGTGACTGTATGAGACTCTGCTTCAGAAAAATAAAAATAAAAAAAGAACCTTGAAATGGGAAGATTATTCTGCACTATAAAGATGGACCCAATATAATACCAAAGGTCTTCGTAAGGGAATGAGGGACACAGGAAAGTTATAGTCAGGAATGGAATATGGGGTGATAGAAGCAGAGATGAGAGAGAGGAGGAGAAGGAAGATCCTATGCCACTGGCTTTGAAGACAGAGGAAGGGGCCACATGCCGAGAAATACAGGCAGCTGCTAGAAGCTTGAAAAGGCAAAGAAACAGATTCTCCTCCAGCGTCTTCAGAAGGAATGCAGCCCTGCCAACCCACTTTACTTTTAACCTCCAGACCTCCAAGAATAAGTGTGTGGGGTCGGGTGCATGGCTCATGCCTATAATCCAGCATTTTGGGAGGCCGAGGCAGGCAGATCACTTGAGGTCAGGAGTTTGAGACCAGCCTGGCCAACATGGTGAAACTGTGTCTCTACTAAAATACAAAAATTAGCTGGGCGTGGTGGCACATGCCTGTAATCTCAGCGACTCAGGAGGCTGAGGCAGGAGAATCGCTTGTAGCTGGGAGGGGACTGCAGTGAGCTGAGATTGTACCACTGCACTCTAGCCTGGGTGACGGAGCGAGACTCAGTTTGAAAAAGAAAAAAAAATTTTTTAGGTTTTTTGTTTGTTTGTTTGTTTGTTTTGGTCAGAGATGAGGTCTCACTCGACCTGGTTTGAAACTCCTGGGACAAGCAATTCTCCTGCCTCGGCCTCCCAAAGTATTGGGATTACAGGCATGAGCCACTGCACCTGGCTAAGAATTGGTATTTCTAATAAGCTCCCAGGAGATGGTGATGCTGCTGGTCCTTGGCCCACACTTTGAGAACCAGCACCCCAGAAATAGCACACAGCTCTCCTGCTGCCTGTAAAGAAGGTACTCCCCTTCTGTGTGTGAGAAAGAAAAAGTTTTTTGGTTGCCTAATTGATTTTCCCAAGTGTCCTAATTGACTAGAAACTGAGAGAATGACACCTGAGCATAGGCTTTCAAGTTCAGGAAGTCAGGCGAAGATGCCTAGGGAATATCAGAGCCAGCGGTGCTAAGACGAGTGGTGGAATCTAGCTTCAGCATCTTTGACCACTGGCACCACTCAGCCTAAAGTTCCCACTCACTACTTTGAGGAAAGTAACATTAGCAGTTGGAAATATGAAGCTTTGTCCTGAACCAAAAGAAACTAATGCAAGAGAATGAGACAGAAAGAGTGTTTCTTCAGAAGACCCACGTCAACTATTCTTTGTGAGTGAGCGATTGGAACTCTCACTTCCTCATCTTAAATGAAAGTGGGCTGGGCATGGTGGCTCATGCCTTTAATACCAGCACTTTGGGAGGCAAGGTGGGAGGATCACTTGAGTTCAGGTGTTCAAGACCAGCTTGGGCAACACAGAAAGACCTCATCGCTTCTAACAAAAATAACGATTGGCCAGGAGCGGTGGTTCACGCCTGTAATTCCAGCACTTAGGGAGACCTAAGGGAGTGGATCACAAGGTCAGGAGATCAAGACCATCCTGGCTAACACGGTGAAACCCTGTCTCTACTAAAAATACAAAAAATTATTCAGGCGTGGTGATGTGTGCCTGTAATCGCAGCTAGTCGGGAGGCTGAGGCAGGAGAATCACTTGAACGCGGGAGGCAGAGGTTGCAGTGAGCCGAGATCGCGCCATTGCACTCCAGCCTGGGCGACAGAGTGAGACTCTGTCTCAAAACAAAACAAAAAACAATTATCCAGGTATGGTGGCACATGTCTGTAGTCTCAGCTACTTGGGAGGCTGAGATGGGAGGATCACTCGAGCCTGGGAGGTGGAGGCTGCTGTGAGTCATGTTTGTGCCACTGCACTCCAGGCTGGGTAACAAAGGGAGACCTTGTCTCAAAAAACAAACAAAAACTCCAGTCTGGGAAACAGAGTGAGACCTTGTCTCAGACAAACAAACCAATAAACGAAAAAGCAAAATGAAAGTGAAATGCTGTTTCTGGGTTTATGCATGTTGATGACAATGTCGGTTTTTGTTTTCTTACTGAGAACAAAAAGGCAAATGTGGCATTAAACATGGAGGAAATCATTGCTTGCTTCTCACCTATCCTAACACTGGAATATGTTAGAATTTCTGGGAATCTGTGGCAGGGCAGAATTCCATCTGATTAAAATGGAATGGACAAGGCCAGCTGACATCTCAACGTCCTGTTTGAGCAGCTGAGCTTCCAAAGACTAATTGCTAAAAAGACTAGGTCGAGTTACTGTATCCAAAATAGCTGGCTCTTCCTAATTGGACTGTGGTTAAGAAAAGGCCTCCTGCAGCTTTGCTCAGTTGGCAGGCAGACAGTTTCCCATGATTCCAGCTTAGCACCAGTTAGAAAATTACAGAGGGAAAAAAAGTCCCTAACAGTAAGATTGCCCAGTAAATCTGGAGTTTCCTTCTGGTAATGGTTTTCATTTTTCACAGCCTAAGAGGGAGTCAACAAGTTGCCCTTTGTCAGCCCCTTCCTCTGTAGCCCCCATCTCCATACGGTTGTGGGACGGTTAACTAGCGGGGCCATAAGGTTTCATTCCCTTTAGTCAAGCTCATCATAGAATAAATAACCAATTGATTTATGGTTGCCTGGATCCTCATTAGAGTCTGGAAGATTCCTTTCTTCCTTCTTTCTCCTTTTTTGGGGGTGATCACAGGTAATTTGTGATCTCTCTTAATAGCACAGGATTATCGTAGCAGAAACAGACTCTAAATGAGGCGCTTAGAAGACTGGTCTTTGTTTTGAGTCTGTTGCCAATAGGAGTTAAAGAGTCTCTGGTCCTCTTGGCCATTCATCTCCCCACCTGTAAAACGAGAGGCCTGTACAAGGCATCTCACAGGACAGGGATTTAATGAATATGGTTCTCCGGTTGATACTGCGTTTGGACCTCAGAGTGTGGAGTGGGAGGGGCGTGGTTTCAGCATAAGAGAGTAGGGAGTGGGGAATGGAGTACATGGCAGGGCACCAGAGAAATAAAACAAGGACACTCGAGGAATGGAGGGAAGCTGCTGCCGCCTTCCTGTTTAGTGGCAATTGTCAGCCTGCTGAGGCCAAGGTGCCCTACTGCTCCAAGAAGCACTGCCCAAGATTTCTGAAGGACATGGCAGCCTGCCCTTCCCTTCACCCACAGCAAGTCACCCTTTATTCCTCTCGCACCTCCAGCAATGTCTCTCATATCCAGAGGACCCTGAATATTTTACCAGCCAGACCAAGGTGTTCTGTTTCTAAATCAAATCATCACTGTCTTTTTACAACTTTGCATTAAATGATAGGTAAAAACTAAAACTTTTAACAACTGTTTCTTCTATATTTGTGGATCCTGCTATTTCTCTATATAAAAATCAAATATAAGCTGATTTGGCACAAAATACATGAAATTGTTGTTGTTATTATTATTATCTTGAGACAGGCTATCACTTTGTCACCCAGGCTGCAGTGCAGTGGCACGAACACAGCTCACTGCAGCCTCAGCCTCCCAGGCTCAAGCAATCCTGCCACTTCAGCCTCTTGAGTAGCTGGGACTACAGGTGCACACCACCACACCCGGCTTATTTTTGTATTTTTTTGTAGAGATGGCATTTTGCCATGTTGCCCAGGATGGTCTCAAACTCCTGAGCTCTCTCAAAGTGAGACTCTATCTTAAAAGAAAAAAGAATATATGAAAATCTTTCTAATAATTTCAGAGTCACTGGCCTATGGCATATCTGTGAATTTTCTCCTTGTCCAGCCTTGTGACATGTGGGATCGTGTGCATGTGCTCATTACCTGGGGGAAGTGGGCCGGTTCTGTTATATGTAGAGATGGCTCCACATATGGCAATCCTTCCAAATTTCTTCATCTGGCCGATAACAGTGTTTGAAAACTCTCCACCTACCTAAACAGACAGGAAATACAAAACCAAAGACAAAACGTTAAATCGTCTAAATACTAGAGATTCAGGAAAATCATTGAGTCACAATCATTATTTTAAAATACTCGTTTTAGCAGCAACAAAACTGATTGAATGAGCCCAACTGTGCAGAAGGTTGCAATGAGAAAAAGACATTAGAAACAGGCATTTTCGGCCAGGGGTGGTGGCTCACACCTGTAATCCCAACACTTTGGGAGGCTGAGGCGGGTAGATCACCTGAGGTCAGGAGTTCAAGACCAGCCTGGCCAATATGGTAAAACCCTGTCTCTACTGAAGATACAAAAAATTAGAAGGGCATGGTTGCGGGCTACCCTTAATCCCAGCTGCTTGGGAGGCTGAGGCAGGAGAATTGCTTGAACCCGGGAGGCAGAGGTTGCAGTGAGCTGAGATCACACTACTGTACTCCAGCCTGGGCAACAGAGCAAGACTCCATCTCAAGAAAAAACCAAAAAATAAAGAAACAGGCATTTTCATTTGACTCTAAGACCATACCTTTTATAACTTATACATTTTACTTTATTATATATTGAGGTTCTCTGATCAGTCCAATAACGTCATTGTCTTATAATTTAAAGGTATGTAAAAATACTCAAAAGGTGTATAAAGAACAAAGCTGGAAGACTGGCATTTTTCAATTTCAAAACTTAATACAAAGCTAATTTAATTAAGATAGGGTGAGAATAGAAATATAGATCAATGTAACTGAATCACGAGTCCAAAAATGAACCCTCACATTTATGATCAATTGGTTTTTTTACAGAAGTTCTAAAGCAGTTCAACAGAGGAAAAATAGTCCTTTCAACAAACGGTGCCAAACAACTGGATTTCCACATGGAAAATAATGCAATTGGGCCTCTTCCTTATACTACACACAAAAATTAACTTCAAATGCATGGTAGACCCGAATATAGGAGCTAAAACTATAAAACTCTTAGAAGAAAACACAGGAATAAATCTTCATGGCTCTGAGAAAGGAAAAGCCTTCTTAGGCATGACACCAAAAGCTCAAGGAACAAAAGAAAAATAGATTAATTGGGCCTCATCAAAATTTAAAACTTTTCATGCTTCAAAGAATACCATCAAGAAAGTGAAAGCCAGCCTGGGCAACATAGTGAGACTCCACCTCTACAAAAAAAAAAAAAAAAATTAAAAATTAGCTGGGTATGATGGTGCATATCTGTGGTCCCAGCTACTTGGGAGGCTGAGGCAGGAGGATCACTTGAACCTGGGAGGTCAAGGCTGCAGTGAACTGTGATCACACACTGCACTCCAGCTTGGGAGACAGAGTGAGACCTAGTCTCAAAACAAACAAACAAACAAACAAAGGGCAAAAACAAAAACAGAAAGAAGGTTATAGGCAATTCACTGAATAGGAGAAAATATTTGCAAGCCATACAGAGTTGGTCCTCATTATTAGTGGATTTCATATTTGCATATTGTGAACTACTTGCTAAAATTGTATTTGTAACCTCAAATCAGTACTCACTAAGCTTTCCCTGGTCACTTGCAGGCATACACGCAGCAGAAAAAAAGATGCAGATATTCTCTGAGGCTGAATAAGGCCATGCTCTGCCTTCTTGTTTCAACTGTTACACAGAGAAGACCAGAGGATGAGGCCACTGCAGCATAGTTCAAGAGGCTCTGGTTCTGGGAAGAGTTGGATGGGGTATGAATCCCAACTCTGGGGGTATTAGCTAGTGGGGTGGCCACAGGCCTTTTGTCCTTCATAAAATAAAACCATAAAATAAAATTGAACCTCCTTTTGTCTTGCATAAAATAAAAGCTACTGGGATGAGTTGTTTTAAGGATTTAAGATTATAGTCTATGTGAGATATGTACATACACGTACATATTTCCCCTAGAAGCAATGGTTCAGCTTTGGTGGTGACCTTATAGAACATAAATATTGCGAATAATGAAAATCCACTGAATCTAATAAGGGACTTGTAAGATGTACAGAACTCTTGGCCAGACGTGGTGGCTCATGCCTGTAATCCCAGCGCTTTGGGAGGCCAAGGCAGGTGGATCACCCGAGGTCAGGAGTTCGAGACCAGCCTGGCTAACATGACGAAACTCCATCTCTATTGAAAATACAAAAATGAGCCGGGTGTGGTGGCTCATGCTTGTAATTCCAGCTACTCAGGAGGCTGAGGCAGGAGAATCACTTGAACCCAGGTGGCAGAGGTTGCAGTGAGCCAAGATTGCGCCACTGCACTCCAGCCTGGGTGACAGAGCAAAAATCTTTGTCTCGAAAACAAACAAACACAAAAACAAAACTCTTACAACCTCACAAATAACCTAACTGAAAAATGGGCAAAGATTTTGACCTGACATTTCTCCAAAGAAGATATAAAAATGGCAAATACATACAGTGAAAGATCCTCAATATTGTTAGCCATAGGGAAATGCAAGTCAAAATCAAATCACAATGAAATATCACTTTGAACCCACTAGGATGGTTATAATAAAAAAGACAGACAATAGCAAGTGTTGGTGAGTATGTAGAGAAGGTGGAACCCTCATACACTGCTGGTGGGAATGTAAAGTAGTGTAGCCACCTTGCAAAACAGTTTGACAGCTCCTCAAAATGTTAAACATGAAGTTATCATATGACCCAGCAATTTTACTCATAGGTATATACTTAAAAGAAATGGAAACATCCACACAAAAACCTCTGCATGAATTTTCATAGTAACATTATACATCATAGCCAGAAAGTACAAGCTGATACCCATCAGGCTGGGTGTGGTGGCTCACACCTGTAATCCCAGCACTTTCGGAGGCTGAGGTGGGAGGATCCCTTGAGCCCAGGAGTTCCAGACCAGCCTGGGCAACATGGCAAAACCCCATCTCTATTAAAAATATATAAATTAGTTGGGTGTGGTGGCACAGCCCTATAGTCCCAGCTACTTGGGAGGCTGAGGTGGAAGGATTGCTTGAGCCAGGGAGGTCGAGGCTGTAGTGAGCCACGATCACACCACTGCACTCCAGCCTGGGTGACAGAGTGAGACCCTGTCTCAAAAAACAAAAAAAGGGAATAAAGCACTGATAAATTCTACAATATGGATGAAACTTGAAAACATTTTGCTAAGTGAAAGAAGCCAGTCATAAGAGACCACTTTTAGTGGGGAGGAGGGTGGGTAATGGAGAGTGACTGCTAATGAGTAGTTTTTTTGGGGGGTGATGAAAATATTCTTAAACTGGTTGCGCTATTTTGCCAATATAGTAAAAATCATTGACTTCTACACATTAAATGAGTGAATTACATGGTAGATGAATGATATCTCAATAAAGCTGTTTTTTAAAAAAGGCATATATACTTTCTTCATGTATCCCAAATGCAAACTCTAGGAATATATTTCCTTGTATCAGCGGTCCTCAACCTTTTTGGCACCAGGAACCAGTTTCATTGGAAGAGAATTTTTCCACCGACTGTTGGGCGACGATTTCGGGGATGATTCAAGTACATTGTGTTTATTGTGCACTTTATTTCTATTCTTATTACAATGTAATATATAATGAAATAATTATACAAGTCACCATAACATAGAATCAGTGGGTGAGTTTTCCTGCAACTACACGGTCCCATCTGGGGATGATGGGAGACAGTGACAGATCATCAGGCATCAGGCGTCATCAGGCACGTAAGTAGTGCGATCCCCATAAGGAACACACAACCTAGTTCCCTCACATGCGTAGTTCACAACAGGGTTTACACTCTTTTTTTTTTTTTTTTTTGAGACGGAGTCTCACGCTGTTGCCCAGGCTGGAGTGCAGTGGCGCGATCTTGGCTCACTGCAAGCTCCGCCTCCCGGGTTCCCGCCATTCTCCTGCCTCAGCCTCCTGAGTAGCTGGGACTACAGGCGCCCGCCACCACGCCCGGCTAATTTTTTGTATTTTTAGTAGAGACGGGGTTTCACTGTGGTCTCGATCTCCTGACCTTGTGATCCGCCCGCCTCGGCCTCCCAAAGTGCTGGGATTACAGGCTTGAGCCACCGCGCCCGGCCCGGTTTACACTCTTATGGGAATCTAATGCCGCCACTGGTCTGACAGGAGGCGGAGCTCAGGCAGTAATGAGAGTGCGGGGAGGGGCTGTAAACACAGATGAAGCTTTGCTTGCTCACCTGCCCCTCACCTCCTGCTGTGCATCCCAGTTCCTGATAGGCTATGGACCACTAACCACCCATGGCCCAGGGGTAGGAGACACCTGTGTTATATAATACTCCATTAATAAATCAGATATTAAGTCCAGTTGGTACTTACATTATCAAAATAACAATCGTAACCATCAGGAGAGGCTTTCTTCAAGGTTTCTTCCAAAGACTCTACTGTCTTGTAGTTAAAGACAACATCAAATCCAAGCTTTTGAAGGTAGGCAACCTTTTTATCAGACCCTGCTGCTGCAACAACTTTGCAGCCCTAAATAGAAAAAAACAAACAAACAAAAAAGGAAACCATGAATAAGCCACAAGCACGGACCACGGACCAACACTACTTTCCTGGTCCAGCACGCCTAGGTTCCCTAAGAACACTCTGTTAGGTGCTGAGCCACATATATAAGGAATACCATAATGGGCCAAAAGATCCCATAGGTGAAATTCATCGCTGGACCATCCTACAACTCAGCTTCAGCTTGCTTCTGACCACCCAGCAGGTCTCTTCTGCATTTATTTGGTTCATAGCTCCACCAGCTGGTTTAACAACCGATCCATTTGACTTCCTTGGTTCTTGGTTTCTGGGCTTCTCTTCCTGCAATGCAGTGTATGCCATCTCTTGGTACGGTCCTTCTTCAGACTATTATTTTGTCTCAGCTCTGTGACTCCCACATCACAAACGGTCCTCCTGATAACTGCCCCCTTATCCTTTCTTGATTTTTTAAATGTTTATATTTTTTTGAGACATGGTCTCACTCTGTTGCCCAGGCTGCAGTGCAGTGACACAAACATGGCTCACTACAACCTTGACCTCTTAAGCTCAAGTGATCCTCCCACCTCAGCCTCCTGAGTAGCTGGGACTACAGGTGCATGTCACTATATCTGGCTTATATCGTTTTAAATTTTCATAGAGACAGGGTCTCACTATGTTGCCCAGGCTGATCTTGAACTCCTGGGTTCAAGTGATCCTCCTGCCTCGGCCTCCTAAAGTTCTGGGATTACAGGCATGAGCCACGGCACCAGGCCCTTTGATTTAGTCCAAAACACCAGACTAGATGCTTCCTAATCCCAGAGCAGCTAGGAAGCATTCTGAAAAGCACTTTCAGGATGAGACTATAGATTATATTGGTTCATAGAAACTATTGCAAGAGAGCCATCCTTGGTCCTTTTTCCTTCTAAGACTATGGACTATCATAGGATGATCTCTTGTACTCTTATGACCTCCTTTAAGGAGATTATTAATTCATCTATTAATTCTATCTATTAATTCTAACCCATTGTTCTCTCCTGAGTTCCAAATCAGTATTTCCAACAACCTATAGATGTCCTCACACTTGGATGTCCTATAGGTCCCTCATAATTAGTGTGTTCAAAAGGGAATATACTTTTTTCCTTGCTTCTTACTTATTTTCTATCCATTATTGTAGAGAATGATATCACCCAGTTATCCAAACCTGAAGCATGGCTCAAAGGAGAAGCTTTCCTTTGTCTTATGATCCATGTCCAGTCACTTGGTTTTCTTCCTCTTTTTTAACCAAACACCGTTAAAAGCTGACTCTGGGCCAGGCGCGGTGGCTCATGCCTGTAATCCCAGCGCTTTGGGAGGCTGAGGCGGGCGGATCACCAGAGGTCGGGGGTTGGAGACCAGCCTGACCAACATGGAGAAACCCCGTCTCTACTGAAAATACAAAAGTAACCAGGCGTGGTGGTGCATGCCTGTAATTCCAGCTACTTGGGAGGCTGAGGCAGGAGAATCGCTTGAACCCAGAAAGAAATAACCAATAAATGAAAAAGAAAGTAAGATAATATAAATATGACCAAACATTCCAGTTATGACAATTAATATGAATGGCTTAAATTTAACTATTACAACACTGAAACTTTCAGATAGGTTAAGAATTAAATGCAAATAGCTGCATTTTACAGAAACACACATAAAATGGACAGAAACGTTGAATATAAAAGAATAGGTTTGGCCGGGCGCGGTGGCTCAAGCCTGTAATCCCAGCACTTTGGGAGGCCGAGACGGGCGGATCACGAGGTCAGGAGATCGAGACCATCCTGGCTAACACGGTGAAACCCCGTCTCTACTAAAAAAAAATACAAAAAACTAGCCGGGCGAGGTGGCGGGCACCTGTAGTCCCAGCTACTCGGGAGGCTGAGGCTGGAGAATGGCGTAAACCCAGGAGGCAGAGCTTGCAGTGAGCTGAGATCCAGCCACTGCACTCCAGCCTGGGCGACAGAGCGAGACTCCGTCTCAAAAAAAAAAAAAAAAAAAAAGAATAGGTTTAAGCGCAGGTTCTATCAAACTTACAGGATAAAAGCCCCTAATGGCTTTAATAGGATATTTGAAATTGGAATATTTAGAAATAATCCTAATTCATTTTGTAATTTTAGCATAATCCAAGCTTAGCTAAATTCCAGAACAAAAGGTAAACTTTAAACCAAACTCACTTGTGAATATAGATGCAAAAATTCTTTTTTAAATGTTGTTAAGTCAATTCCAAAGGTATAAGCCCATAATATAGCATACACAGGTAAAGCTTATTCTGGAAATGTTAGAATGGTTCGACATTGGAAAACTAATGTAATTCATTCACTGAGATGTGAACCTGATAAATGTTGCAATGGCATTTGATAAAATTTAATATCTATTCCTATTTGTTTACTTACTTAAACAAATTATTCTACAACTTCTATGTAGCCTCATATTTGTATTCCAAGCTCCTATTAGCACCAGAGACCAGTCCAAACCCTTGGCCATTGGTTGTAGCCCTGTACTCATCTGTACCCCATCTAACTTGTCCCCTAGGATCTAGGTCCTGAATCCTGCATCCCAGCCTTGGGCAAAGGATCAGTCAAGCCGCATCGCCTTCCCACTATGTAATAACAAATCCCTACTGTGTCTGAGTTGTCGCCTACTCTATACACTCACCATCAGATTGGATCCCTTGAGCAGACATCTGCCTAAATTAGAGCCAATGTTTCCTTGTCCTAGGTACTGCCAGGAGTTAGTTCCCAAGCCATGGCCCCACTGCTCCGGGCTGAATGCCCATTTCTTTCTGGTACAACAGCCTTTGCAGTGGGGCCACGTGAGTGATGACTCTTAGTTGGCTGATCTCAAGTCCCTTCTTCTGTTGCTAAGGACAATCATGAAGAAAGAAGATTAAGCTGTAGCGATAGAATGTTCAGTAGAAAATATGAAAATGATAAATGCTGATAAACTCACTACTCTAGACAGAGGCCATTTCTGACTTGATTGTCTACAATGTTATCAAATAACAATGTTCAGCTTATCTTTGGTCTAGTTTTCCTCATTCTTCCAATTTCTCAATCTCCAACTTATAAAGAAGACCACTGGACTATAAATTCCCTGAGGCCAAGGAAGATCTGCTGTGTTCACTGTTGCATTCCCAGTGGGTTTAGAATACAGGCTTGTTACTGGAGAAAGGCACTTACCTTGAGCTTTGCAATCTGCCCCACAACAGAGCCCACAGCTCCAGCTGCTGCATTAACCATCACTGTTTCTCCACCCTTCACACCACAGATTTCAAGAAGGCCAAAGTAGGCAGTCAGGCTAAAGGAAGAAAATTAAGGATATATGAATAGAGTTGTTTCTTTCCTCTATAACTCATTTATATAAATCTTGTAGGCCTTCTCAATGGCCCAGTGCCATAGGTCTGAGTGAAAGACAAAAATATAGGAAATAAATATTGCCAGTCACTGTTGCTTTACTTCCTCCATCTCTACTCTCAGATAGGAATAAGATGATGTGAACTAGGGAGGGAAGGGAGACTTGGCTAGAAAGGGGCTGTATCCTGTCCATTCACAGGCCAAATTTCAGGGACAAAAGATAGATCATCTTTCTCAAACTTTGGGGATTCAAGAAGAGAGAGCTATGCATCATTCCCATATAAGTTCTATGGAGATGATGAGCTTCATGGGAGAAGCCCCTATGTTATCATGGTGACATAGCCACACATAGCTACAATGTGGGATATTAGGCATGAGAGGGTCACAGGGAGCATCTGGAGCTTTCCATGACTCCAAAGTGGTCTGGAAGACCTTCCAGAATTTCTCCGTATTACCCTAAGTGAGATGTCAAAGTTAGCTTGCAGGAAAAGAGCTACTGGATATACAAAGATGCAGCACTGGCAGTACTGATGGGGACTGGGTGAAGACACCACCACACCTCTTTGGATTGCGAGTTTGGAAGGTGATAGGATTGAAGACTTTCTTCACCACCAAAGTTTCCTCGTGTCTCCCTTCACCTCTTCTCCCCTACACCTGGCTCACAGTCCAGAGGGAATGATGGATAACAGAGGAGAACAGAGAGGAAGAGCCTTCATCCGTAGAGGGTGCAAGGCAGGCAGGAAACACCCAGAAGTGCTGGAATTGTTTAGTGCTCACTAATTTCATGGAAGACGGTATTCAGCATCCTCTACTTTCACAATGATGTCCTTGGCAGTGGCAATTTTGAGGAGTTCAAATTCAAAGTGAAATATGAATTTGGGGTACCTAGGAGTTGTGTTTGTTTAGAGTCTGATCATTTGATGGTATACATGTATTTCCATTTCATTCCTCAGAAAACCTTCAAAGTGTAAAAAAGGAAGGGGAAGGAAGGGTGGGAAGAAGGAAGGGGGGAAAAGATCTCAAAACTTAGAGAAAGGAAGTAACTTTGAGCAGGAGACCAGCTTAAGACCAGTACAGATCGAGATCAAGAAATTGTTGTTGTCCCTCTTCTACTGACACTGAACTTCTATTGTCCTTGGAGCTTTGCAACAACCCCAGGGAGAAGAAAAGAGAAATCCTGAGTTTTATATTTGAAATGATGTGAGAAATCACTGAATTCAACTTAGGTTTTCTCTTATTACACCAGCCAAAAGGAGGGGTTGAGATAGAAATGAAGTTCAGTAGTGGACAAGTTAAGCTATATTTTTGCAGCCCTGGATCTGAGCCAATAAAATCCAGACCCATTATAGTGATTGTTAAGGCACTTGCAGAATTTCAGACAAATTCATGTAAAGTTATTTCTGCATTAAAAAAAAAAAACAACTACATGTTGTCATTAGTTAGCTTATACAGCCTCTGACTATATTTGGGGCCCATGAGAGGTTGGCATTGAATAGAAGGCAGTGACAGGCACAGGCACAGGCAGCACTTTTTCTGAGAATCCAAATATCTCCCTTAACACAATGTTTTTCAAAATGGCGAGGCAGCACCAGGTGTCTCAAAATCACCTGAATTGTTTTTTTTTTTTTTTTTTTTTCTTTAGACAGAGTCTCGCCCTGTTGCCCAGGCTCGAGTGCAATGGCGTGATCTCGCCTCACTGCAACCTCTGACTTCCGGGTTCAAACGATTCTTCTGCCTCAGCTTCCCCAATAGCTGGGATTGCAGGCATGTACCATCACGCTCAGCTAAGTTTTTGTGTCTTTAGTAGAGACGGGGTTTCACCATGTTAGCCAGGCTAGTCTCGAAGTCCTGACCTTGTGATCTGCCCGCCTGTGCCTCCCAAAGTGCTGGAATTACTGGTGTAGGCCACCGTACCCGGCTGAAATGTTTGTTTAACATTTAGATTCTCAGGCCTCACCCTAGACCCACTGATTCAGAAATAATCCAAATGTTAATAAGACTCTAGGTGATTCTTATGAATGCTAGCAATTCAGAACTACTCCCTTTACAAAAAAAATTTTTTTGAGACAGGGTCTTGCGCTGTTGCCCAGGCTGGAGTGCAGTGGTGAAATCACAACTCACTGCAGCCTAAACCTCTAGGGCTCAATGGATCCTCCCACCTCAACCTCCCAAGTAGCTGGGACTACAGGCACATACCACCACACCCGGCCAATTTCTGAAATTTTGTAAAGACAAGGTCTCACTATGTTGCCCAGCCTGGTTTCCAACTCCTTACCTAAGACGATCCTCCTGCCTCAGCCTCCCAAAGTGCTGGAATTACCAGCATGAGCCACCATACCTGGCTGGGATGGGTCAACTCTCAAGAATGCTAGCACTTCTGATATAGATTAAAAGAGAAGTTGAACTTTGAAATCTAGGGTGTCTTTTAGCTGTCCAGACTCCACAGATTTAACATTCCCCCAAAGTTTTGCATCTTTTCCTTCAATTAAGTTGGAAGAGCACATGTATTCATGTATTTGCTCTCCAAACCACTGATTCTATTAAGTCCTTCTTAGTCCAAAGTACGACATTCATTTTCCCTCAAGGATTTCTTTACTTTTGGCTTTCTTCATCTTATCTCCATTTTACTTTATTTTATTTTATTCATAATTTTTTTAAATTATATTTTTGAGATGGAATCTCGCTCTGTCACCCAGGCTGGGTGCAGTGGTGCAATCTTGGCCCACTGCAATCTCCGCCTCCGGGGTTCAAGTGATTCTCCTGCCTCAGCCTCCTTAGTAGCAGAGAGTACAGGTACATGCCACCATGCCTGGCTAATTTTTGTATTTTTAGTAGAGACATGTTGGTCTCTGCATGTTGGTCAGGCTGGTCTCGAACTGCTGACCTGGTGATCCTCCTGCCTCGGCTTCCGAAAGTGCTGGGATTACAGGCATGAGCCACCGTGCCCATCCTCCATTTTATTTTAAAAGGAGATAATGTTTGGGAAAGGCTTTGAGTATCTTAGATCAGAATATATAATTGAAAGCCAACTCTGGAAATATCTAGAAGGTATATTGGGAGAGGGGGATGCTGGTTGTCACAGGTGGAATAACTCAATCAGAAAGTATAACCTCTGCTTCTCTTTTGGGGTTAGGTGAACTGGCCCAGAAAACTCTGGCATTAGCAAAGAAGACCCATCCCGTTGGTCAGTGACTCATAATGACAGGAATTCTCATTGAAAGGGTGATGTGTTGCCAGAGGATTCTTAGAAACGGGCATGTATGACTCCCCACGTCGGTCACTGAGAACCACTGTTGTTTAGAGTAAACGTACATTAACATGCACTCCTTAGTGGCTTGGATCAGATGAATAAGAAATATACACGAGTGAATAAATCACCTTCTCCTTCAGGAGTCAGGATCTCCTAATATATTACAAATTACCTTCTCAACAACCAAAGTTTCCTCGTGTCTGCCTTCACCTCTCCTCCCCTACACCTCGTTCACAGTGCAGAGGGAAGGATGGGTGGGATAACAAAGGAAGAGGAAGAGCTCTCACCCGTAGAGGGTACAGGGAAGGCAGAAAAGAACAAGAAGTGCTGCAATTGTTTAGTGTCCACTAATTGAATGTAAGAAGGTATTAATTTTAGCAAATATTAATTACTAAAATATTTGTTCATGCCAGGCATGGTGGGTCTAACTGAAATTTTGTATCCTTTGACCAACATCTCCCCAACCCTTCAGCCTCCCGGCCCCTGGTAACCATCATTCTACTCTCTAATTCTATGAGTTCAACTTTTTTAGATTCCACATTTAAGTGAAATAATGTGGTATTTGCCTTTCTGTGCCTGGCTTATTTTCCTTAACATAAAGTCCTCCAATGGTGTCACAAATGACAAGATTTTCTTCTTTTTTAAGGCTGAATAGTATTCCACTGTGTATATAGACCATGTTTTCTTTATCCATTCACCCATTGATGGACACTTAGGTTGATCTTCCTGCTTAGTCCTGCCATCTTCTCTAATCAGCCCCTGAGCCTATCGTGCATCAAATATCTTCCTGTTGACCAAGTTCTGAACAAACCATTTTGGAAAACCAGAGTGTCAGACATTCAAACAAATGAAATATATTCATGAAACTCACCCTGGCATGCCAACTGTCCCCAGAGCCAAAGACACTGGTATTGTGTCTGGCCACTCTGTCAGCAGCTTTTCCAGATCTTTCCCATCAGAAATGGAGTGTGTTGTCCAGCCTGGAGAAGTCAGTACAATAGTTCCTTTTGGTAGGTCTGCATTTTTACTTTCCACAACTCTGAAAGATAAAGCACATTAAGGCATTAAGGCATGGGACATGTCTTCCCTTTCAAGGGAGTCAGGATGCTGTGGGGTTAGTGTTGAAAAAAGGGCACTGAGGTTGATATTCCACAACTGATAGTCTACCACCCCCTCCATCTTAATTCTTAGCCATCGGCATAGGGATCATCAGAGAACTCTCAACTTACCCAGCCACTTGAGGAGTGGCTCATGGGGTGAGGAGCGCCTGTTCTCACCCACTTCTCTTCCTTTTAAGCAAGAGGCCTCTGTCCTCTGGCTCAAGGTGACCTGGACACTAGCCTTCTCTTCTTCAGGTGTCGCTCTCTTTCCCTTGGCCTCCACTCTCCAGAATCTTTGAGATTTTCCTCTCTACTCTCCCTTTCACTCAACATATAAGTATGCTCAACTCTGCCGTCTTATAATCCCATCCCTCCCCTATCTCCTTGCTCCTTCATCTTCCTTTTTCAGCCCAACTTCTTCACTTTCCATTCATGTGCTAACCCACTGCAACCTGCCTTCCACCCCTACTACTCCATTAAGGTCGCAAGAACCTCCTGAGCACAAAATCCAGTGGATATTCCTTAATCATTGTCTGGTTTTACTTTTCCACTCTCTCCCCCACCGGTCTCTCTCTCTCTATCTCTGTCTCTGTCTCTGTCTCTCTCTCTCTCTCTCTCTCTCTCTCTCTATATATATATATATATATATATGCTTTTTTTTTTTTTTAAGATGGAGTCTTGCTCTTGTCGCCCAGGCTGAAGTGCAATGGTGTGATCTCGGCTCACTGCAACTTTCACCTCCTGGGTTCAAGCAATTCTCCTGCCTCAACCTCCTGAGTAGCTGGGATTATAGGCGCCTACCACCACACCAGGCTAATTTTTGTCGTTTTAGTAGGGATGAGGTTTCCCCATGTTGGCCAGGCTGGTCTCGAAATCCTGACCTCAGGTGATTCACCTACCTTGGCCTCCCAAAGTGCTGGGATTACAGGTATGAGCCACTGCACCCGGCCTACCCTTTTCCACTCTATTAACACAGGGTCACCCAAAAGTCTCCCCTCATTGGTTCCCAGGATACTAATGATCTCTGCTGGCTTTTTGCCTCCTCCTCTAAGTGCACCCTTTGTGTCTCATTTACTGATTCCCTTTTCTTCATCCAACTCTTTATCCTTCTTTACCATCTTTCGTCCCCAGATCATAAAGTTATATAACACATATTTATTCTAGAAAATTTTAAACATATAAAATAAAAATATCAGTTCTAATCTCACAGCACAAAGACAACTGCTAACATTTGGGTGTATTTTATGTCAGTCTCAATGGTGAATTTTAAAATGTGTACTATACGTATTTTTAAATTTTTTATGTTTATTGTTTGAGACAGAGTCTTGCTCTGTCATCTGGCTGGAATGCAATGGTGCCTTCTCGGCATACTGCAACTTCTGACTCCCGAGTTCAAGCAATTCTCCTGCCTCAGCCTCCCGAATAGCTGGGACTACAGGCGCCCGCCACCACGCCCAGTTAATATTTTGTATTTTTAGTAGACATGAGGTTTCACCATGTTAGCCAGGATGGTCTTGGTCTCCTGACCGTGTGATCCGCCCGCCTTGGCCTCCCAAAGTGCTGGGATTACAGGCGTGAGCCACCGTGGCCCTCCAATTTTTTTTTTTTTTTTTGAGACAAGAGTTTCAATCTATTGCCCAGGCTGGAGTGCAATGGTGTGATCTCAGCTCACTGCAACCTCCGCCTCCCAGGTTCAAGCAATTCTCCTGCCTTGGCCTCCTGAATAGCTGGGATTACAGGCGACCACCACCACGCCCAGCTAATTTTTGTACTTTTAGTAGAGACCAGGTTTCACCATGTTGCCGAGGCTAATTTAGAACTCTTGACCTCAGGTGATCCACCCACCTCAGCCTCCCAAATTACTGACATTACAGGCGTGAGCCACTGTGTCCAGACTTTTTTGTATTTTTTTTTTTTTTTTTTTTTTTGAGACGGAGTCTCGCTTTGTCGCCCAGGCTGGAGTGCAGTGGCCGGATCTCAGCTCACTGCAAGCTCCGCCTCGCGGGTTTACGCCATTCTCCTGCCTCAGCCTCCCGAGTAGCTGGGACTACAGGCGCCCACCACCTCGCCCGGCTAGTTTTTTGTATTTTTAGTAGAGACGGGGTTTCACCATATTAGCCAGGATGGTCTCGATCTCCTGACCTCGTGATCCGCCCGTCTCGGCCTCCCAAAGTGCTGGGATTACAGGCTTGAGCCACCGCGCCCGGCCACTTTTTTGTATTTTTTTGTAGAGATGGGGTTTACCACGTTGCCCAGGGTGGTCTCAAACTCCCAGATCGACCCACCTCGGCCTCCTGAAGCGCTGGGATTATAGGAATGAGCCACTGCACTTGGCTCAATACTGTTTCCTTAGTCAGGATTTCTATAAATGGTATTACTAGGTCAGAGTATTAAAACGTTTGTAACTCTTGCTGCATGTTGCCAAATTTCCAAATTCCTTTCTAGAAGGTTGTGCCAACTTCCCCTTCCACCATCTATGTATGAGTGTATCATCTCCATTACTATAATATTTTTAAAAATAGTTTGCCAATCCAGCAAGCCTAAATACATGTTCATTTCTTTAATTGTTAGCAAGAAACATATAAGACCTACATGAAGAAAACTGTTAATAGGATATAAGACAAAATGAATAAATGGAGAAGCATACCTTGTATTTGGAGAGAGAAATTGTAAAGATGTCAGTTTCCTCTAAATAGATCAGTAAGGTCATTGAAATCCCAGGAAATATCCATGTAAGATTTCTACAAATGGTATTATAATAACTGGCTAGTCATTGAGACACACAATTTAAAAAAAATAAAGAATGAGATGCTTGGTTTTTTTTAGAGACAGGGTTTTGCCATGTTTCCCAGGGTGGTCTCGAACTCTTGAATTCAAGCAATCCATCCACCTTGACCTCCCAAAGTGTTAGAATTACAGGTGTGAGCCACTGAACCTGGCCCCACTCATTATTCCAATATAAAAACTAAATGACTCAAAATTTTTATCGTAAAAAATTAAACTATAAAATACAGAAAACATGAATAATTTTTTTTTTTTTTTTTTTTTTTTGAGACAGAGTCTTGCTCTGTTGCCCAAGGCTGGAGTGCAATGGTGCGATCTCTGCTCACTGCAACCTCCACCTCCTTGGTTCAAGCGATTCTCCTGCCTCAGCTTCCCAAGTAGCTGGGATTACAAGCGCCTACCACTGTGCCCAGCTAATTTTTGTATTTTTAGTGGAGACGGGGTTTTGCCATGTTAGCCAGGCTGGTTTTGAACTCCCGACCTCAGGTGATCCACCCGCCTTGGCCTCCCAAAGTGCTGGGATTACAAGCGTGAGCCAACGTGCTGGCCCACAATTTTTGAAATAATAATATATTATCAATAGTTGTCTTTAAGGTTCAGATGATGGGGGAACTTTCAATTTCCAAGATAAAAATTTTTGTTTTGTTTGAATTTTTACAATAATCATGACCTGGATGAAATTTTTATTTTTTATTTTATTTTATTTTTTAGTGATTAAAAGTAAGGATGGCAAAGTGAAGCTGAAAAAATGACAATTTCACATCCTTCCCTCCTTTCCAGCTAGTCAGGAAGAGAACAGGATTTCCCAAGTTGATTCTAAGATCACACAGTGAGTGACCCACACAGGCTGAAGAAATTGTAGGAGTGATGGACAGAGACAGGATGCAGCAGGAGGTAAAGAGGAGACATATTTTCCAAGCATTGGGACAAATGGAAATAATTACCTGGCCACTTGCTGCCCCATCATTCTATCACCTTCTTTCAATGTTTTGGCTAAAATTCTGAAAAAAAAAAAAATTCCATTCTTAATACATAAGAGCATCGGGGGACTGTTTTGAGTTTCAAGCTAATGGAAAACTGCTGGGTAAGTGTATGCGGCAATAAAACCCAGACAGATGAAGGGCTACAACTAGGTGAGATGCAGGAGGAAAGCTGTTAGAGGAAGTTCTGCTCTGTGACCTCAGATAAGCACTCCGATTGGATTTTTTAATGAGTGAACACAAAAGTCTTACCGCCATGTTCCAGTAAAGATGAATTTCTACCAATGACTTAAAAAATATAACCCAGGCACCACTGCGTAGTTATATTACCCAAAACACTAGTTACACAAAAAGATGCCAATTAACATTTTTAACTGTGTTTTCCACTTCAGATTTGAGTCTTTATCAATGAGCTATGAAAAAAATGTAAAAGAATGATGGCTATGTTATTTACCTGGGCAAAAAAATACTGAGGACTTAGTGGTCAATAAAGCTTTTTGATTTCCTCCCCTCCCTGAGTTGTTAGCTGAGTATATAAGTTTGAGTCAACTGCAGATTTACCTACATTAAAAGAATACAGGTAAATGGAAGGCCAGAAAAGCTGATTTTAATCTTAGCATCTTCCTCTATCCAAATTATTTGCCAGTAGTGAAATAGACAAATTTGGATTTGGCTTCTTTTTTCTTTATGAGATGGGGTCTTACTCCGTTACCTAGGCTGGAGTACAGTGGCACGATCTCGGCTCGCTGCAACCTCTGCCTCCCAGGCTCAAGTGATCTTTCTGCCTCATCCTCCTGAGTAGCTGGGACGATAGGCATGCGCCACCACGCCCAGCTAATTTTTTGGATTTTTAGTAGAGACAGGGTTTTGCCATGTTGCGCAGGCTTTATTTTTCATTTTTTTCTTTTAAAGTTTTTTTTCTTTCTTTCTTTTTCTTTTTTTTATGGAAGTAATTCTGTTGAGCAGTGAAAGGCAAATTGTGCAGGGCAGATAGGAGATGGTTGGGACAAAGGAACCGAGGTGATCCCTCACTAAGCTACTTAGACCTTTGCCTGCAAAAGATGAACGTGCATGAATCCCATCACTGTTACTGGCTGCAAGAAACAGAGGGAAAGCGACAATGTTTTAAGTCAGTTGGATATTTTAAAAGACGGACTACTTCCAAATAGCATGTAACACAGCATTAGCCATATGAGGGGAGAAATAAATAATACCTCATGTAAGGATCCACGGTGAGGAACAAAGCTTCAAGCAGGACCTCTACAAAATAAAGCATACCATAGGCAATTAGAAACTCAAGGCCTGAGAGGAACAATAGACACTGAGCACCACTAGAAAGGGCAGGGTGAGACCGGGACGAAGGTTGAGAAACTACCTATGAGGTAGCATGCTCTCTACCTGGGCGACAGGATCATTCATACACCAAACCTCAGCCACATGCCATTTACCCATATAACAAGCCTACATATGTATCCCTAACACTAAAATGAAACTTGAAGGATAAAAACAGAACTCAAAAAACAGAACTCAAGGCCTGATGCCTTTGTTTGGCATTTTTTTTGTTTTTTTTTTTTTGAGACGGAGTCTTGCTCTGTTGCCCAGGCTGGAATGCAGTGGCTTGATCTCTGCACACTGCAACCTCCATCTCCCAGGTTCAAGTGATTCTCCAGTCTCAGTCTCCTGAGTAGCTGGGATTACAGGCGCCCACCACCACACCCGGCTAATTTTTGTATTTTTAGTGGAGACGGAATTTCACCGTGTTGGCCAGGCTGGTCTTGAACTTCTGACCTCAAGAGATCTGCCCGCCTTGGCCTCCCAAAGTGCTGGGATTACAGGCATGAGCCACCACGCCCAGCCTGTTTTTGGTATTCTAAAACAACACAGATAATACTCTGCTTCAGGAATGTCTTCCTATCTGTGCTTCTATAGCAGACACAAGAAGGGGTTCTCGTTTTTGGCCCAGCCCAGTTAAGAATAACAATAATAAAAATAAAAAAAATAATAATAATGCTATTTACTCAGCACTCATTCCATGCTTTACATGAATTATGTCATTTGATATTCAACAAATATTGTTTCCATTTTATTTAAGGTTAGGTTAAGTAACTTGCCCAAGGCCACATTTAAACCATTATGTTCCAGTGCTCACCATATGGTTTCACCACCAGCCCCAGTGAGTGTTAGAGAACATGCATTTTGCTGGAGTGACTCTCATGTACACATTCTTTGGAATTTTGAATTTGAGTCATGGCCATCACAGTTTAGATGAGACTGATCACTTTGCCATGCTACTTGATTGCATCCCCTTTTCTCAAAAGCTTATACCTACCTGTAAACACTCCTTAGAGACTCCTCTTATAGTCTGAACTCTTCATATAGCTACTGGGCAGTGCTTACCTCACTGCCATCATCAGGCTCATGAGGATACAGAGGACATCCTCCCCATAGTCTGGTCAAAGCCAGGAAGAGTAATGCACTCAAGCATGAATTTCAATTATCAGTGAAAGCAGGGGAATCCTGCCACGTGACATCGAGGCTTCACACAGAAAACCCTGGAAAGGTCTATGTGGCATTTGCAAAATGGCCACAAATAAGTCCCACCCTTGTGTGCTGGTCTCCTTGCCATTTCTCCCATCAAGAAATCTATTTTCTGCCTTTCAAATCTGAGCTGGTTTTGTGATTTGCTTTCACCGTGGGATACTAGCAAACGTGGCACAGGTAGAGGCTTGAAAAGCGCTTGCACAGCGGGGCATGGTGGCTCACACCTTTAATCCCAGCACTTTGGGATGTCGACGCGGGCTGATCATCTGAGGGCAGGAGTTCAAGACCAGCCTGGCAAAGATGGGGAAACACCGTCTCTACTAAAAATACAAACATTAAGTCCAGGCACTGTGGCTCACGCCTGTAATCCCAGCGCTTTGGGAGGCTGAGGCAGGTGGATCACCTGAAGTCGGGAGTTCGAGACCAGCCTGGCCAACATGGTGAAACTCTGTCTCTACTAAAAATACAAAAAAAAAAAAATTAGCTGGGTGTGTTGATGGGTGCCTGTAATCCCAGCTACTCAGGAGGCTGAGGCAGGAGAATCACTTGGACTTGGGAGGCAGAGGTTGCAATGAGCCAAGATCATGCCAATGTACTCCGACCTGGGCAACACAGCAAGACTCTGTCTCAAAAAAAGAAAAAAAAAGTGCTTGCACATTGGAGCTTGCCAATGTTCTTACCACTATAAGAACAGAGCTCAAACTAGCCTGCTAGAAAGGCCACATAGATAAGAACTAAGGCATGCACCCCAACAGAAAGCCTGGTAACCAGCAGACATGTGAGCAAGGCCCATCCTAAATTCACCATTTATCCCAGATGAGACCTAAGAAGAACTACCCAGCTTAACTCAGCCCAGATGGCCAACCCAAAGATTTGTGAACTAATACACCTTGTTGCTTAAAGTCACTAGACTTTGGGGTAGTTTGCTATGCAGCAAAAGCTAACTGATACAGTCCCTTCCAACTCTGAAATATTTTGAGTATGGCTTACCTCCATTTTTTAAGGGTGGTAGCTCAGCTGTCTTCAACTCAAAGTCACTCTTAGTAGGATGGCCAACAAAGTGCTTCTTCAGGGTCCATATCTTAGTACGAACCATCCTGAAGCTCCTAGAACACAGTAAATATGCAGTCAACTGCCATGCTTTCTAACAGTTCCCTCGCCATCAAACTGAGCCCAGATAGCACAACTACAATATCCTCAAATCCCATCATTATCAGAAACGCCAATCACATTCATTTAATATTTACTATGTTTCTGGTGCTGTGCTAAGCACTTCATACAGATTACCTCATTTTATCCTTATAACTGCCCTATAAGATAGACATTAGTATCATTGCCAGTGTAGGGATGAGGAAACTGAGGTTTAAAGAAATCTTCAAGACAAGGAAAAAATATACATCAGCAAAGAAATTCTTCCCAGCCACTGCTAGGCTAGAATTTCTTTATGGCACTGAACAGTTACGGGGAGTGCGAATATTCCATTCCGTTTCTCATCTCACATGGAGTGAATTCTAAGAAAAAGCATCAAACACAAAGAACCCCATAGAAAGAAGTCCATGCACCTCTTTCAGAAAGAAGGAGCCAGACATTTCAAGGCAGTCTCAGAACTCCCGAAAACCACCGGGGGGCGCCGCTGCTCCGCTCCGTTTTCAGGTGCGGTTTTTTTGCTTGTTTGTTTTCATTTATTAGTATTATTTTTAATACTTTTCTCTCTCTTTCTTGTAGAGAGGAGCCACACTGTGTTGCCTAGGCGAACCGCCCGCCTCCACCTCCCAAAGTGCTGGGATTCCAGGTGTGAGCCACTTGAACTCAGCCATTGGATGCGAATTTTCTTTGGCCCAGGAGGGATTTGAGTTTAAACTGCACACCAAACCGATTTTGAGCTTAAACTCTACACCAAAGCAAGGGAAGATGATGAAGGCTGCCCCGAGCTGGGGGTTCAGGACGTTCTGCTTGGACCGAACTCGGCCGCATCAGTTGGGACCCGAGCCTTCCCGCGTGTGCATCCGCTACAAATAATCCAGTATCAAAACGTTCTGGAGCTGCCGCTGACCTTCCCAGCTCCCCACCGGTGCCGCGGGGAGGGGACACGGGTGGCTGGGAGCCAGGGGGGCGGTCCGATCTGCCGCCCGGGGTTGTTCCTTCTTGTTTTTTCTTTTTTAATAAAGACTTTTTTTTCTTTTTTCTTTTTTTTTTTTTTTTTTTTTTTTTTTTTGGTGACGGAGTCTCGCTCTGTCGCCCACGCTGGAGTGCAGTGGCGCCATCTCAGCTCATTGCAACCTCCGCCTCCCGGGTTCAAGGGATTCTCCTGCCTCAGCCTCCTGAGTAGCTGGGATTACAGGCGCCCGCCACCACGCCCGGTTAATTTTTGTATTTTTAGTAGAGACGGGGTTTCCCCATGTTGGCCATACTGGTCTAGAACCCCTGAGCTCTAATGATCCGCCTCGACCTCCTAAAGTGCTGGGATTACAGGCGTGAGCCACTGCGCCCGATCCTAAGTATGACTTTTATGATGAGACATTTGAAGTTTGCTCTTAGTTATTTTGAAATCACATTATTGGCTCTAGTCACCCTGCAGTGCAACAGATCTCAGAACCTACTCCTCCCGTCTCTGAACTTTGTACCCTTTGACCAACAAGCTCCCATTCACCCGCGAACCCGCTCCCAGCCTCTGGCAACCATCATTCTAGTCGTTACTTCTACGAGTTGAACTTTTTAAGTGTCCACACATCTTTGTCCGTTTTTCCTAGAAAGCAACCGCTGGACATTCCAAACTCGCTACAAGTCCACAAGCCCTTCTGGAAAGGGTCTGGCCCCAGAGGGGCGAGGTCCCGGGAAGGTCTCGTCCGCCCGAGGAGGGGGCCTAGCGCGGCGACCGGCCTTTGCCCACTCGCCCTTTGCTCCCACCCCCGCCGCCCGCCACTCGTCACCCACCGCCTGCGTGCCCATTCCCAAATCCCCAACCCGATCTTCTTCTACCCTCGCCGAATTGTGCGGTCCCACAAGTTCCCTGGCCAGCCCCTTGCCGGGTGCAGGCAGCTGCCGGGTGTCCGGGATTGTAACCAAGCTTCCCTCCTGCGCGCGTCTCCAAACGCTCCAAGGAACTGCAGGGCCGGGAGGCGTCCGGACATCGGCTCCCAAGATCCTCGGAGTGCAAGACCCAGCGGTCATTTCGGCGTAAGGGGAGGAGGGCTAAGCGCAAACCTCCTCCACTGGCGCGTCTAGAAACTTGGCAGGAAGAAAGCAAGGGGGTTAAGGGAGGGAGAAAAGCGAAGGAAAGAAAACAGGAGGTCTACTTACAGGAGCCCGAGGGTTCCACTGCCTGGGGAAGGCGGCTGGGACGGCGCGGCCGGGCGCCCGAGGACCGCTTTATGACAGGTCCCAGGAGAGGGTGGGGCCACTCCAAGGCGGGGCTGCTTCTGGAGGGTGAGAGCCCCGCCCCGAAAACGTCTCAGGAGGAAAACCAGGGTCCGGGGAATCTGAGTGCGTTTGTGTGTGTGTGTGCGCTTATCTGTGTGTGCCTATGTGCATGTGCGCGCATATGTGTGTGTGTGTGTGTGTGCATATGCGCGCGTGCGTGTGCATGTGTGTATGTGTTTGTGTGTGTAGGGGCGTTGGGGACTTCTGATAGTAAAACCCCTAACAGCTTTGTCCAGGTGACACTGGACCTGCGCCTGGGGTCCTAATTTGGAGCCCTGCGGAAACATGACCCGTGGGGGAACGAGCCGAAGGGTGCCCGGCAGGCCAGAACGGGCCAAAGGCAGGGCCTGGGGCGGCCGCAGCCCTAATCAGCCCCCGGTGCTGGTTCCGATTCCCGGGCTCCTGTAAGGAGTGCAAGCTTTCGCCCAGGGCTGGGGTGCAGACACTCTGCCTGTCCGTCCCCAGTACACCGGCTGAACACCTACTTGCCTTCTAGGAGCCAATTCAAGGTCACCTCTAGGAACCCTTGCCAGACGCCCTCAGGCAGGAGTGAGCGTTCTTGCCACTGAGGCACCCCACACATCACACCCTAGCAGACATCAGGCCTTGACCCGGCCTCTGCAAGGAGAGGCGGTATCAGGCAGGGGTTGAACGTGAAGCTAAGTGGTTGGTATTAGACGGCTGCAGGTTCGAAGCCTGCGCCTGCCACTCACTAGTTGTGTAGCTTTCCAAGACTTACTTACCTTCTCTTTGCCTCACTCAGTTCAGCCATCAGAAAGATGGGGATAAGAACAATGCCTAACTCCCAGTCATTATGAAGATTCAATGTCTTTTATTTATTTACTTAATTTTAATTATTTTGAGGTCTCGCTCTGTCACCCAGGCTGGAGTGCAGTGCTGGGTATCACAGCTCATTGCAGCCTTGAACTCCTGGGCTCAAGTGATCGTCCTTCAGCCTCCCTAGAAGCTGGGATTACAGGCCCACCACCACACCCGGCTCAATGTCTCTCCTTGTGAGGGTACCTGTCATGTTGGATTAGAACCCCACTTGTCAGCCTCAGTTTAGCTTAATCACGTCTTCCAAGGCCTTGTCTTCAAATACTGTCAAATGGATTAGGGCTCACTAATATGGCCTCATTTAACCTTAATTACCTCTTGAGAGGCCCTATCTCCAAATACAGTTACATTGTGAGTACTGGTACTTGGAGACTTCAACACATGAAATTGGGGAAGACACAGTCCAACCCATAATAGAGTGTGTGGACCAAGTGTGGTGGATGCATACCATGGGATATATGCAGCATCAGAAGCACTGGGATCGATGTACATAAAGCGACTTGGATGGACCCTAAAAACAAAATGCTGAGAGTTGAATTCTTCATACTCATCAGAGTTTGTTGCACTTTATCCCCACTGGGCTGCCAAATTCTTTCTTTCTCACTCACTCTCTCTCCCTTATTAATTTATGTAACCTAAAATAAAACAAAACAAAATTCCATTCCCAGGCTGGGTTCTTTGGCTCACGACTGTAATCCTAGCACTTTGGGAATCCAAGGCAAAAGGACCACTTGAGGCCAAGCATTCAAGACTTGCCTGGGCAGCATAGCTTGAACCTGGGAGGTGGAGGCTGCAGCGAGCTGCGATTGTGGCACTGCACTCTCCCCTAGGTGTCTAAGTGAGATCCAGTCTCCAAAAACAAACAACAACAATAACAAAAAATAACTCTGTTCCCTACTTTTCTTCTCCTACTATAGGTAACTACTGTGATTTGTTTGATGTGCATAGAGTTTTGTTTTGTTTTTTTTTCCCATGTTCTTACATAATGTGCACTGTGGGCGTATACTTTTAATTTATAGAAACAGTATTGGGTTACATATCTCATTCTGCTTGTCTTTTTTTGTTTTTTCTTTTAAAATATCTTGTTATAGAATCACTCTGTTTCTTTTGGATATTAGAAGTGTTAATAAAATTGCAGGCATAAAAAGTCTTTGTAAAGTAAGAATAACAGAAAAAAAGTGCCAGAAACACAGAGTGGCTCACATATTTACTCACTTGTCATTAAATAGAAGATGTCGATAATACTTGGCAGCACCAGGACAAATAAAATCTCTTTCCCAATTATTGACTCAGTCAGTCTTAAAGGCTGCAGTTTGTCAAGTCATGGTGATCAAGTTAATCATGACTGTTACATAATCACACACACAGTCAGAATATGGAATAAAGATTTTTCTTTGCTTTTCCCTGAGACAAAACTCTATTCAATTCAGTTCTCTGATCTTAGGTTTCAATGAGTTCTGATCTAACTGTGGAGGGAACAGTTCACTTAAAACAATAAAGTAATAACAAACAAGTAATTTAAAAATGCTTTTTATCAAATAATTCAGACAATACAGATGTGTATAATATAAAAAACAAAAGTCATTGTTATCCGTTTGGTGGAAATTTCTTCTGGATCTTTCTTGTACTTTAAAAACAGACAGACTTAGTCAGGGGTGGTTGCTCACACCTATAACCCCAGCACTTTGGGAGTCCGAGGCAGGCGGATCACTTGATGTCAGGAGTTCGAGACCAGCCTGGCCAACATGATGAAACCCCATCTTGACAAAAATACAAAAATTAGCTGGGCATGGTGGCACGCACCTGTAATCCCAGCTCCTCAGGAGGCTGAGGCTGAAGAATCACTTGAACACAGGAGGTGGAGGTTGCAGTGAGGCAAGATCATGTCACTGCACTCCAAGTTGGGTGACAGAGCAACACTCTCTCAAAAACGAACAAAGAAACAAACAAAAACAGACAGACTTGTCGCCCACTTTCTTCTCTACAACTTCCATTTCATTGGTCAGGTGGGATAATGCTTGAGAAATAATGATAACAACAAAGAGTAATATTTTTCTCCTAATTGTAGGAATTCCTGAATACAGATGGGACACTGCATTTGGAGAGAGATTGATTATCCTCTCTGCACAGCACAGAGGAGATGCAACCTTGCACTAGAGTAGCCCTTGGTATCCCGTATTTGTAGTCCTTATGACCACCCAAGGAAGGGTTATGTTATGGGACCAACAAGTTCGTATGCCCACTGCATAGTAATAGACCAATTACACTAAGACAGCGGGGATGCAGCAAAGAAAGAGTTTAATGATCACAGGGCACCCAGCAAGGAAGTGGAAGGAAACCCTCAAATTCATCTCCCAAGAAGTTCTGGCCTGGGGCGTTAAGAGGATTGTGGAGAGTGAGGGGTTGGAAAACCGGGGTTGCTGGTTGGTTGGGTCAAGGGGGATAAAATCATCCTAAATTGGAAACTATACGTTGGTGAGGTAGCCTCTCTGGGAGTCCTTCAGGTCAGCTGCATCAGTGGTTTCATCTGTATGCAGGACCTGAAGGAATATCTCAAAGTGAAAACAACATTTCATAATGTTCGAGTTGTTATTTAAAGAGCAGTTAAGGGAAACTATAATCTTGTATCTAGGTCTAGTGATTCTAGGAAAATAGGCACCAAACTGTGAGGAAGCAGATCGGAGAGTGTGCCGACTTAATGATGAATGCTGGACATGCTACCAGCTTGGTTTCTTTTTGTTTCTCCTTCCCTCCTTCCCTGATTAATTTTATGTATTTTTCGAGATGGAGTCTTGCTCTGTCTCCCAGGCTGGGATGCAGTGTCATGATCTCAGCTCACTGCAACCTCCACCTCCCTGGTTCAAGCAATTCTGTCTCAGCCTCCCGAGTAGCTGGAACTACTGGCACATGCCACCACGCCTGGCTAATTTTTGTATTTTTAGTAGAGACAAAGTTTCACCAATTGGTCAGGCTGGTTGTGAACTCCTGACCTTACGTGATCTATCAGCCTCAGCCTCTGAAAGTGCTGGGATTACAGTCATGAGCCACTGTGCCTGGCCTACATTTATAAAGTTAATAGGGGCAGTTTCAGAAGCACATATTACCATCGTCTTCCTTGGAGCCTCAGGAAACTGAAATTCTGAGAAGTAAAACAACATAGACAAGATTGCATAGGTAGTCAGTAGCAGGGTTGAGATTTGAATCTTATTCCATGTCAAAGTCCTACACTTTTCTCTGTTCCATTCAATTCGATTGCCCAATTCTGCTGCTGTTGGGGGTGCCACTATGCCGCAGACCTATTGGACTGAACAAAGGGGGCAAAAGTGGTAATAAAATAGAAGAGACAAAAGAGTATATTTGGAAGAAGGGGTCAGGGGGCACCTTGCCTCTACTGGACAAGGGCCCTGAGCTTTACACAGCCCTCCGTATTTATTAGACAAAAGAGATAGCGAGAAGTGGATGTGATTGTCAGGTAATTGTCAGTCGGCCGTTTGGTTCACAGCAGGCTTGCGAGACTGCATCCTTTGAACCATAGGCGTTAATTTTCTCAGTAGATTACTTCAAGGAGCCTGGCACCAGGGAGTGATGGCCCTCAGCAAACATTTTGGCGCCTGGGGAGTGTGAGTTTGCCGGCAGCCTGCATTCATGATAAACAGTTTGCTGTTTGCTCATATAGCCTCCAGCAGAATACTGAGTTGGTTACTTCCCATGGGCCTTCTGCTCCCTGCATATCCCCCTTTTTGTTTATGTATTAATTGAAAGAATGTAAGGCTAGGCTGGGCAGCTCTCATTCTGCAAATGGTAGTTAATCCGATTTTACAGCAAACATAGCATTAGAACCGTGTCATGACTCTGGTCAGCCTTCTCTCTGTCTTTGCACTCAGTCTCAGCTGGTTCATAGGTCGTACCGGAGGGACCATGCCCATGGTTGGCCACTCTGGGTTCTTCCAATCTCCTGTTCCCGTTCCATGGTCGCATGCATCTTGAGGACACCCACGCAGTTTGTCCATCTCCTGTAAACACACAAGCACACCCTCTTCCCTTGTCAGTAAATCCACTGGACATTTCACTGTCCTTCTTTTGGGGATTTCCATAACACTTTCGGATAAAATTTTCTCTTTTCCTCTAACACTTGCCAATATCTTTCTGCTGGAGCCTTACCATCCATACTGTAATGTCTAAGGTTCTTGCCTAGCCACGCCAAAGAATTGTGTGGCGGCTGACCGCGGCAAGTGATAGAGACACAGACCTAGAGAGAGAAAAAGCTGTAGGCTTTATTGAGCAGAGT